TTGTATGGTCGTACATTATCGTGCACCAATTTGTGTCTCTGCAGATTGGAATGGTCATTAAATGTTTTGTTGCATACTTCACATATGTAGTTTTTCACTGGTATATATTCTTATATGACGTTTCAGAGTGCTTGCACGTCCGAATCGCTTATCGCATAGCTCACATGTGTAATTTTTTTCACCTGTGTGTATTGTCATATGGTATTGCAGAGAGTTTGCATGCCCCAATCGTTTATCGCATATCTTACACTTGTAATTTTTTTCACCTGTATGTATCCTCATATGGCATTTCAAAGCGCTTGCACGTCCGAATTGCTTATCGCATGCCTCACATTTGAACCATTTTTCTTTTGCCTTAATGTCATTAGCCATGGTCGTTGTTTCCTTGTCATTTCTTATCCTGCTTGTATTAGCGGACTCCCATCGTTTGGTACCTGATATAATCCTCAATAATTTGTTTATAGATTGAACATTGCTTTCCAATGTGACAAAAATAATTCTGTGATTGGACGCACAAACTTTTTGCGTTTCACTTTGGTTTTTGCTATAGGATATGATCGCGAAACATCGATTATTTAGAAGTAAGAAAAAGATTAGAAATAAGAAACTTAATTCTCATTCACAGGAAGCAGCTGTTTTTATGTTAAAATAAACTTCGTGGAAACTTAATTACCATACTGAGAGCAATATTCACATACCGTTATTTGCGTGATACACAACGGCAAAGCAATCACTACCATACAATACGATGCAAACATGATTGGGAATTGATTGATCATAGAAATCGCCAAAGCCTTTTCGTAAAATATTTTTAGCAGACAACCTATCAAATGAAGTGGAATTAACAGAGGGAACGCTTTTTATGCATTCCAGTAAGCCGTATGATCTACGACCAAATATAATCACAAAATCCCAGTCTTTTCACGTAATAATTTGAACTCCACTACACTCTAAAGTTTTTTATTAGTTACATTGAATGACAATAGTTTTATACAAATGCGATTACAACTGGCAGAATTGTTCAGAGTTGTCACTAAATCTCTCCAACTCGTATGAGATGAATAAACAAAAGTTAAAAAGACACGACAAATTGATAAAAGTAAAAATATTTGAAGTAATCTTTTTATGATTTCTAGCTCTACTTCAGTCATTCGAAAACCAATTCATACGAACCTAAATTGAGAGCAATATTTTATTCACATATCGTTATTTGTGCGTTGTACAATGGCAAGGTAATTTAATAGCAATTAGTTCAAATTTTAAGAATTACAAATAACTTCAAATTTTATATTTGAAAATAGCAATGATTCATCGTTTCTTGTTGATGATTATTAGACATTAGATGATTGTGCAAACTCTACCAATGAATTCATTTCATCGGAGTTGTAAGGATTTCGTGGCAATTCTAGACAATGCTGCCAGTTGTAATCGCATTTGCATGAAACTATTATTATTCAATATAACTAACAAAAAATTTTAGAGTGTAGTGGAGTCAAAATTAATATGCGAAAAGACCGGGGGTTTTGGATTTTATTTGGTCATAGATCATACGACTTGCTGGAATGCATAAAAACAGTTCCCCCCCCTGTTAATTCCATTTTCCAAATAATTTCGGACTTAATATTTAAAATTGCAATGCTTTATTGTTTTTTGTTGATGATTACATATCAGATTATTGTGCAGACTCTTCAAATGCTTTCATTCCATTCTGAGTTGGAAAGATTTGGTGACAGTTCTGAACAATGCTGTCAGTTCTAATCACATTTGTATGGAACTATTATTATTCAATATAACTAACAAAAAACTTTAGACTGTAGTGGAATCAAAATTATTATGCGGAAAGATGGGAGTTTTCTGATTATATTTGATCATAGTTCATACGGCTTACCGGAATGCTTAAAAATGGTTCTCTCTGGTTGATGTCACTCACTTCGTTTAGTAGGTTGTCTGCTAAAAATAATTTTCGGAAGGTTTTGACGTTCCAACGTTTCCCAATCATGTTTGCATCATATTATATGGTAGTAATTGCTTTGCCGTTGTATATCGCGCAAGCAACGGTATGTGTATATTACCCTCAGTATAGAAATTAAATTTCCACAATGTTTTTTATTTTCAGCTGAAGATAGAAACAGCTGTTTCAAGTGAATGAAAAATAAATTTTTCATTTCTTTTCTATTTCCCTGTTAGTCCTAAATATTGATTATTGGAAAACAATAATCAGATCTATAAACAAATCATTTAGGATTATTTCAGGTACCAAACGATGAGAGTCCGCTAATACAAGCAGGGATAAGAAATGACAGGGAAACAACGATCGTGCCTAATGACAATAAGGCAAATGAAAAACGGTTCAAGTGTGAGCTATGCGATAGGCAATTTAGACATGCAGGCAATCTGAAATATCATATGAGGATACATATCGGTGAAAAAAATGACATATGTGAGGTGTGCGATAAGCAATTCGGGCGTGCAGGCATTCTTAGATACCACATGAGGATACATACCGGTGAAATAAATTACACATGTAAGGTATGTGATAAGCGATTCAATCGTGCATACAATCTGAAGCGCCATATGACGGCGATACATACTGGCGAAAAAATTACACATGTAAGTTATGCAAAACCCCCTCCCTCTCCCCCCCCCCCCAAATATTCCTAAATATTGATTATTGGAAAACATTAATGAAATCTATAAACAAATAATTTAAGATAATTTCAGGTGTCAAATGATGGGAATCTGCCAATTCAAGCAGGAATAAGAAATGACAAGGAAATAACGACTGTAGCTAATGACACTAAGACAAAAGAAAAATCGTTCAAATGTGAGATATGCGATAAGCGATTCAGACGTGCAAGCAGTTTGAAGCGCCATATAAGGATACACACCGGTGAAAAAAATTACATATGTAAGATATGCGATAAGCAATTTATACAAGCATACAATCTGAAACGCCATATGGCGACACATACTGGTGAAAGGAATTACGCATGTAAGGTATGCCAAAAAACATTCAAACAGTCTGACCATCTGAAGAAACACGAATTGACGCACAGAAACGTACAAAGTTCGAATTTCACTCGAACAGATAATTTGAAAGAATACATGAATACGCATAAAAGTTCGAGTGAAAAGCTGTATTCGACAGTGAGCCCCTTCATATCGATACCAGAGGTCATCGATACAGAAATATTAATACGAGAAATTATTGCATTCGTTGGCATATAAATTATTGTATTGTATTAGCTTAAATTATATTTGTACATTGTTTTCTGCCATTTATGCTTTGTACATTATTTCCTGATCGAATGGTTGAAGTATTTGATGAAATTGGATAGATAATTTTGAATTATGATTTAATAGAACTTCGTATTGCATTCATTTTCTCACACGAATTTTAATGTGTTGTTTAAATTTACTATTCCAATATTCTCTTCGTTATCAATTTTGTCTAATCAATTATCAACTTTTCTATCATCTTCTGTTCTTAGTTCTCAATTCTATCGGTGTAAAACAAAGACAATAACTATGAAACAAATTAAGCAATTGAGAAATGAAGGAAAAGAAAAAGGTTTTCATTATTTAATCCTAATTTTCATCTTGAAAGAAACTTTTTCTCGAATTTTTCGTTTTTTCCTTGATCGAATATTTTAATGCAATTATCATTAAATTATAAACAATAAATGTATTAATGATCCTGATGTAGTTAATAGTATACTTTTTACAAAAAGAAATTCCAATTAACTCTAAATTCCTTCATTCATCAACGGTTCAAATATTCTGGAAGATGAGCTGGCAGCTGGAATAAGTATGAAAATCAAGGAATTGCATTATTTGTAAATAATAAAAATGGGCATAGCACAGAACAGAAAAGGCATGAAATTTAAAATATAGTTAAATAGTTAAATTTGATATATAATATATGAAATATAAAATACAGCAAAATGGTTTATATTTGACATATAATATATAATGCATGAAATAGAATAACTAATATATGATGAGTAATGAAATATAAAATTTAATAAAAATATTGCGACAGTAGTTTATGCCAAAAATACAGTAAAATTTGATATAATATTACGGATACTTTTATTATGCATCTTACGTGATACGTTGAACGCCTTGAGATTCATATTCACACAGATGAATATCTTTTGATAATTTCAAAAATTTCCAACAAAGGAAAAAACAAATATTTTTATTTCATTTTCATTTTGATGAATTAATTGTTAAGATCGAATTGTTCGAGAAATTCTGAATGCGAAAAGAAGCAAGGAAAGAGAGGAATTATATTTTTTAATGATTAGTCAATAGCATTACTATTGAATTTCGTGTATTATTTTGAATTGTTACATCTTCTGATACGATCAGTTGTTTCAAATGAAACTTAGTTGAAATAATATTTCTTGCTACGTGTCAATATTTTGCAACATTGTACGTCACATTTTTTCCTGAAACTTTTCCAAATATTCTACGTGATATTTTTCAAAGTTTACCGTGGAAGTTATGGCTATTATTAAATTTGAAATATTACTTCCAATTCAAGTAATGATAAATTTTATCAATTTTTGAAATTTTCACTACGTATGTTTTCATTTTGTATACATATACACAAATTTCAATTTATAATTTTTTTTGTTAATTCATTTTAATTATTTTTCATTGTTTTTCTTCTTCATAATTAACATTAAAATTTTAATCTTTTCAATTTCACTCTTTGTTTTCCTTTTCTTTTGTTTGGCCAAATTAATTTAAATTTTACTTAATTAACATTTTTCTTTTGGATGCGAAAATTTGGTATAATTAAATTTTTCATATGAAAATGAACATTTAAGATTTTTCAATATTCTTCCCAATTTCTTACTAATTCTTAAATTCATCGATCATATGTTAATTTTTATTTCAAAAAATTTAATGGTAAAATTTTCCACCCAATTTCTTATTAATTCTTAAACTTCATTGATTACATATGAATTCATCGATCATATGTTAATTTTTATTTCGAAAATAATTAATGGTAAAATTTAATGACAAAAATTAATTTCTTTATTTAATTATATATTTATCACGCAATTACTAATACTAATAAAATTATTTTAGTTTATATAAAAATTTTCGAAAATTTTTGATTAAATTTTTTTTTCATTTACTAATTTATATTTAAAAATGTTTATTGTAATCATTTCGACATTTATTTTCATCGTTTTTTTTTTTTGTTGTTGTTTTAATTAATTTTCATTGTTTTTTTCGTCTTCATAATTAATATTAAAATCAAAAAATTTTTTGTGAAATAAACGAAAACGTTAAAAGTATCGGAAAGAAATAACAAAATTACTGCCTAATGACGCATACGAAAAAAATACAACAATAAAAAAGTTAATAAATTACACAATACAAGAAAGAGAGAGAGAGAGAGAGAGAGAAAGAGAGAGAGAGAGAGAGAGAGAGAGAGAAATAAATGAAAATTTTTCTTGAAAGGTAAATTTTTGTCATACTAATCAAATGATAATTGTTCGTTAGGAAGGACATTTAAAATGTTGTGAATATTACAAAATTTCTAGTTTCCTTGTTTTTCTAAATTACAAAAGAGACAATTCACCAATTCCTTCGTTAAAGTCATTCCAATCATTTCACCATATTTTTAGGTAAAAATTTTCTTTACTGTTTAAAATTATTTCATTCCCTACCTTTTCAATTTTTAATTTTAATCTTTAATTATATCATTTCGTTGTATTATTTTAATTTTAAATTATTTAGCCTTTTCAATTTTATTATATCATTTCTTTCTATTATTTTAATTCTAAACTTTTTTAGCCATTTCAATTTTAATTTTTGAATTTTTGAACTTTTTCTATTCTATTTAAAACTTTTGAACTTTATCAATTTAATCATATCATTTCATTGTATTATTTTTTTTTATGAAAAAGGTTTTATTTTATATATTGAAAAAAGGTTGATTAAAATGCTAAATTAAATGATTTATTATTTCAAAGTAAATTAAGTAATTTTTATTACAAAAAATTTTGTGCACTCATATCACATAATAGATAATTTTAATTTAAGATTATAAAATTTACTCTCTAAATATGCTGTTGCTGACAAATGAATATATTGTTGACAGACGAATTTGTTATAACAATTATTTTTATTGTTTTAGGCGGATATTGTTTACTCTCTATATATGCTGTTGTTGACAAACGTATTTGTTATAACAATTATTTCTATTGTTTTAGGCGGATATTGTTTACTCTCTATATATGCTGTTGCTGACAAATGAATATATTTTTGACAGACGAATTTGTTTTAACAATTATTTCTATTGTTTTAGGCGGATATTGTTTACTCTCTATATATGCTGTTGCTGACAAATGAATATATTGTTGACAGACGAATTTGTTATAACAATTATTTCTATTGTTTTAGGCGGATATTGTTATAACATTCTATCACTTCTTATTATTTTAGCTGTCATTGTTCTTATTTGCAGGTAATGATGATCAGAAAAGGAAGAAAAGCGAAGCTAATGTTGCATTTTCATTTTATTTTAATAATGTTAGTATATTTTGAAATAATTTTTGTAACATTTTTACATTCAATAATTAAAAAAAATTAATTGATAAAATTTAATGACAATAATTTAAATAATAATAATTCTTTTTGCTGAATAAAATTTAAAAACAATAATTTTTCCTGAATGTTTGAAAAGGATTAAATGAATAACAAAAAATTATTAATTAATGGTAAAAAATTCTTATATGAATTTCTTAAAACAATATATTTCAATTATATATTGGGAATATTGCACAAACACCGTTTGTGTTAAACGGCGTAGTAACAGTACAACTCGATATCACTTCTTCAGAATGTACTGCGCATTAACACGATAAAAGAGATGAAAGCATCGATAACAGTTGAATC